TGCCTTACTGACATAAATGAACATTTGCACGATATTCTAATTTTTCAAGTTTCATCTGTATGTCTACAATGCACCAGTTGTTCTGTTCAGGAAAGTAATGCTTTGTCTTTACATTTGTACTCACTTTTCAGTTTGTGATATTGCCACAGTCATATATTCACACCTGCGAGTGAGAGGGATACACACAATAATACTTCTGAGTGCTCCCATATAGGATTGTGCAGTTTGTCTTTTAGTATATTCATGCTATCTTTTTCTTTCCATTTCTGATTGCACAGTAAGGAGGACACTTAAGAGTGGATTGACTCCAGAAGAAGCCAAAGCTTTAGGTCTGATGGGCACTTCGGAGATGCAAGTGTGAGGACAGCAATCAAGTCTGCTAGAAGAAAAAACATCTTTGTCTTTCTTTCACGCACACATGCCATCAACAGTCTTTTTAAGTTCAGCCCTCTGCCTGTTTCAGCTGCTATTTGTTTTATCCCATTGCTGCATGACACTGAAGCAAATAGTAAAGTCGGAGGGTTAATTTTTTAGACGTATATTACTGACCACTACAAAAATAAGTTATGGTAACAGAAGTTCAATTGAACATTGTGTCACACTCATTCTGTCAGGCTGCATTGATATATCCTTGGAGAGAGTTGCCCTTGGCCCATCTTGCATTGTGTGAAAGGTGTTAATGCTCATATTCCTTGCAGCATATTGTAGTAATTGTAAAGCACTATGTTTTATCAATTCTTTAAAGAATTTTTTTATTGAAGTTACTACTATCTTTCTAAAGGTAGAGAAATGTACTTTATTGTTTTTATCTTTTCACCAGGAATGTAAAATGTATGTCAATTTGTGCATACACACATGCACACCTATAGAATCCAGATGCCTATAATGTTCCTTTTTATAAAAATACACTGATTTGGAATTCTGCTAGGATAGTACGTGAATATCTTCTGTCAGTCAAGCATAAAAATGAAAAACAAGTTAAGTTATACCAGAATAGTTTGAGACAAAATACTATTTCCTATAAAGGTTTAGATAGGAAAGTAGTGCTCACATTGGGGCCCATTAAGCTGCTTTCCTCGTTCAATTTTATAACATTTAGCTATCAATCACATTAGGATTTTGCTAACATTTGCTTTTCTCTCACAAACCTTGAAGACACAATAAGGAAAACAATTGCTTTACATATCAAACTTGTTCCACATCACCTACCCAGTGGCGTTCTTCCAACTTCAGTAGAGTTTAATGGTGATGAGCTTCCAGGCTTCTGAGCAGCTGCACTTCTTGGCAGCTCACAGTCAATGTGTGGTACAGAGCAAACCATTTTCACCTCTGAAGATGCCAGCCACAGTGGCTGGCCAAACATCAGGATACCAAATAATTAAACCATGGCCCATTAGCCCAGAGGCCCATCACCACTGGACTGACACTGACCATGAAAGTCTGCATCAATATATTCTGCAGAGTTTGCTTCCAGAAGTAAATAATCTATCATTTAAAGAATATGCTTGAAATTTCATTACACATACTTCCATGAGTTGCATTGGTTTACAAGAGATACATAACCAGATTGGAAAATTAGAAGAATCAAGGGTTTTTTAAGGTTGATTTAGGTTTTATGAGTATGGCAACATGAAGGAACTTTTTATGTTGAAACATGATTTTAAGCTAGTAGCATTGTCTAGCATTGGCCCGATGTGGTTTGGGGTTGGTAAGCCTTGTGATATTATACATTATTCTGGAGGATTCTAACAAACTTTATACAGAAAGTAGTGAATATCCAATCTTTTCCAATAGAGGTGAATATGTGTAGCTCAGGGTTGAACTGTGGAGTCCTTGGGGTTCTCTGAGCTTGCTTCTTTTCTTGCAAATGTTTCATTACCCGGCTAGGTAACATCTTCAGTGCTAAAAGTAGTGAATATCCAATCTTTTCCAATAGAGGTGAATATGTGTAGCTCAGGGTTGAACTGTGGAGTCCTTGGGGTTCTCTGAGCTTGCTTCTTTTCTTGCAAATGTTAGTAGTGAATATCCAATCTTTTCCAATAGAGGTGAATATGTGTAGCTCAGGGTTGAACTGTGGAGTCCTTGGGGTTCTCTGAGCTTGCTTCTTTTCTTGCAAATGTTAGCAAACCCCATCCCATTTTAGCACTGAAGATGTTACCTAGCCGGGTAATGAAACATTTGCAAGAAAAGAAGCAAGCTCAGAGAACCCCAAGGACTCCACTATACAATCTTTTTTTTTTTTTAAGTGTACTTCTGTATGAATAAGAGCCAGCACAGTATGGTGGTTAAGGTGCTGGACTAAGAGTGGGGAAACACAGATGCTAGTCCTCCCTTAGGCACTGAAGCCAGGTGGGTAACCTTGGGCCAGTCATTCCCTCTTAGACCTAATCAGTATCAACTGCTGCAACAAGCTAGTTAAGAAAACAAAACCCCATATCAAGTCATGCACTGATAGCTTTGCTATGTGAACTAGGTCAGCACAGTGCAAAACAAGTGGACCCCACAATAAGTGGGATAAGCAGAAAGAGTAACAATCTGTACCTCTTTACCTTTAATAATGTCTCTTGCTTGACTGTTTGATTTTGTTCTGCAACTTACCTGGACCTATATGGATGTAATATGGATCTATAAAAGCTTCCACTGGGCTGCAGAATTACACATTTTCCTCCTGTTGCATTACTTTTTAGTGATTCTACAGTAACATGTAAGTACTTTGTTAATAAACCTAGTTGTGTTTTCATCAAGAAAAAAGGCATGATTAGTACAATGAATGATACTGTATCAATCTTTTTTTCTCCTTTAGCATTTTATTTGTTTCAAAAGGACTAAATTAATTTTTGGTATTTCTAAATTATAGGCATCAGAAACATTTTTTGTTGCTTATATCAGAGCTATCAGGACTTTGTGGTGCTTCAAATAATTCAGGAAAAGCACTTCAGAGCATGAATGCATGTCAGCAATTCTTTAAAGCTGGGCAACGGGGGCTGCTTTAAAGAGTTGCAGAGAGGTGCTAAGTTCACATCTTCCCACATACTCTGAGCACATTTTTGAACTTAAGTCCAAAGCACTGCATAGTTCAAATAGCAATAAATGTTTCTAAATTTTCAAAATGTTATCAGTAAGGGAAAAGACCCATAAAATAATGATTAAATTGATTAAAATACTGTCAGTGGGATCATATGACCTGACTCTGAGTGCAACAATAGAGCTTTCAAGAATTCTTGTGCCCTCCTGATGGCAGACCAACACAAATGTTTGTGTCTCTTCATCTCCTTCCTGGTGAGACTTTTTGTATGTTTTCATCCTAATGACAAGCCTTCCTGCCCCACCTTCTTTTCAAACTTTCTGATACTTGAATTTCTGTATGTTGGAAAGAGCCAGCTTGAATTGGAAAGAGGAGCAGGTGGCTTTGTCTCCAAGATTGGAGTCATGTTTGTCACTTTTGCAGAAAAAGATACAAGGAATCCTATTTCTTATGGATTGCTGGCTATCAAAAACAACACAATTTTGTCTACAATTTCTCAAAATAAACATATAGGGTTAATTTAAAAAAAAACTAAAATGCTAATCACAGTGTAGAGAATGTTTTCAGAAGTAAGCAAATTCCAATCCTAAACTGTTGCATTGATCTGTTTTACCATTTTATTGTGTATATTACAATATATTTTATGTATCATTTTTCAATCTTATTCCACATGCATCTTATAAAAATTCATTTCTGTAAGAAACACTCCTAAGCACTTACTTATTGAAACCATGATTAGGATTGTGTTTTGATATACAAAGGACATTCTGTTTCCTAAAAACATTAATTTTCTAAAAGGTTTCCATTTTTAATATTTACTATGGTATGGCACTGAATAATTTCTGTAGATTACTTTAATTACCTTAATGTTCCACAGGAAATATTTTTTAATGTTGCGATAATGGGCACTGATTCAAACAACTGTCCCAGTGATAAGGCTGCTAAAATCCAGAAAACTCTAGATGATATTGAAGAATTACAGAGAATTTTTGTATCTCTTTGCTGCTGTCTAGAGGCCACCTGGATTTTCACAGCTCAGATATGGTAGCTCTTTCTAGTGGAATACTGTACATGAATTCTTTGTCTTTGAATATCTTATCAGCCAACTCATTCACAGCCTGCTTTTGAAGCTTGCCATGCAGGAATGGAGAAGATCTGAGAGAACCAAATGTGTTTCTGTATTGTAGAAGCTTATAGAATTCGTTCATTGGATCCTGGTCACAATCTCCCATGTAATTTGCCTGTTGGATTATTCCTTTGCTTCTTGTGACTGACAAAATTTTGAATGTATTCCAAATGAAAAGTGGACAAGATTTTTCTATTACCTCTCAGAAATCAGGACACCAACTGAAATTCCTATATCAGTTAGAATGTTTTCCAAGATGCAGTGAGCATCTGTTAGGTGAATAAAAGCCAAACAACCCCATTTAAAAGACTGCAGGTGAAGGAAAAAAGAGAAAGGAAGATTTCTGAAAATTAAGAGTGGAAATTCTATTTATTTCCAGGTAGCTGAGGACTGATTTTCTAAATTTACAAAAATAAAGATAACATATTAATCTTGTCAATTCCAAATGATAGTCTTTCATTGAGAATCTCGCCTTTTACTACACTGTGTCCATAAGATTGTGAAAGGGAAACTGGTGAGATGTGGCATGAGGCACTCTGCACAAATTCCTCTTCCTAAAATCCCAGGAGAAGTGACATCATCTTACCCTGCTTCCAAGGCAATTTTGGAAGTGCAGCTGCTGAAGCTGCAGAGTTAGCTTGGCATTTCAATGAAAGGTACAAGGCATGCTTTTAATGAAAACAAAAAAATGGAAAACTTCAACCATCTCATAAGATAAACAATAGTACTCTCATCTCACTAGAAAATTAGCCCGATACTGTAAGAGGAGAATGTTTTGGGGAAATGGGTGGAAATTTTTTCCAGTCTTAGTTTGTCTTTAATGTATCCAATAAACTCCAGTGCTCCTGTCCTGCTCATTTTAAAATGTTTCTCTCAAGCAATTATTCATAAATGTGTCCAGCACTGATATTTCTTTGATGAGACAGATTAGCATTTATTAACTGTTACTTTAAAAAAAAGGCAAAAATGTATCCAGGCTTTGAATGTAAACTTTGTCCAAGTAATTTTTATTTTCTATTTACCCTTATTGAAGGGTAGTAGTACTATGTAGCTACTAAGCTATGCTCAGAAATGCCCAAGGAAATTCCACATTATAAAATGTTAAGGCCATGATAAAACATACATTTTTTACTTGTTGCTTTGTAGGGTTTTTTTAAAGTCACTAAATACCTTTAATTAATCCATTTTCAAACAGACGTACGTAAAAATTAACAATTCACTATATACAAAAACAAAAGGGAAAAATGTTACATAAGTAAATACATAAAGAAGCAAAACAAAAAGTATAATTACAACTATATCCCAAGTTCACCTGACTTTCAGTGTTGACCAAGCCTATTCAAAGACTGAAACATAAAAGTTTCTAGGTGTTTATATAGCAAGAGAATAGTTTTGTCCATTGAACTCAAACTCTCATTTTCTTGCAAGCCTGAAGACTGAACTCAGGAGTTCAGTCACCTTATTTCCAGGAACATGTGTATAGAGTTAAAGCCTTACTGAGCTTTTCTGAATTCAAATAAAAAGGATATTGTGTTAAAACTGAGTCTGTAAACTGCATGGATAGTTTAACAAAAATAAATTTAAAAGATTCACTAAATGTAACCAAGAGGGTTATGTTTTGTTTAGAAGTGCTAAATATTTTGGCCCTTTAAAAAAAAAAAAAAAAAGATCATAAACTTTGCTTGTGCCTGAGCCTGGACATGAGCAAACACTGATCTTTTTTTCATACATGGTTCAGTCTCCCTTTTATCTGGAAACTGCTGTTAATGGTTAT